GAGCTAAAGACACTGGCTTAGCGATGTCTGATGTACCCAAGAATCTGTATGCAATACCAACCGACATAACTCTAGATAATATCGACATCTCTTCATCTATATTTCAGAACATGGGATGAGGATCGACTGGGCTGGTCTCACCGGTTGTCAGTAAGTCCATTGGACGTATGGGGCAGCACGCAGGGTCACGATTAATGAGGACTAATGTATTAAATAGTGCAGACTGAGAGTAAATGTATTGACTGTACTTGACTGAAATTGGATACATTGGTTGTACCTGGCTCAGATTGAATGCATTAGGTATTAATGTACTTGATTGAAATTGAATGTATTGACTATGCTTGAGTGAGATTGGGTGTATAAACTATTGTCTGTACTTAAGTTACAGTAAATGTATTGACTGTACTTGAGTGAGATTAAATGTATTTATTGACGGCACATGACTGTGATCAAATGCATTAACTATATATTACTCACACAGGTTTAATGTATTGACTATACTCGACGGAGATTGGGTCTATTAACAGCACTTGACCGTAGTAATGTCGAAGATCACAAACAATAAACTTAAGCCATTAGCTTCCTGAGTTCACACACGAAAACATACAGCAGACACTGACGACATACTTTCCACATGTGACACGAGTGTCACCTGGTGCAAGTATTGAGTGCCCTGGACTTGAATAGTGTTTCACAGGGATGCCCGTGTCTCAACAAATTAAGTCTTCGTTAACCTGAGGTCGTATTTCAGTGATCGTGTAAACACCACCCTCTTTTCACAAAATGTCGAATGTCAGAATGGTTTAAACAACTGAACTTAGATAACAGTATGTCCGAACTGGTGGGAACTTGTATACTTGACATCACAATATGCACGCCAGTGAGTGACTAGATAACAGTGAGTTATCAGATAACAGCGTGTGGCAACTGTTGGGTACTTGTACACTTGACATCACGACATGCATGCCTGTCAGTGACTAGATAACAGTGCGTGACCAGATAACAGCGTGTGGCAACTGTTGGGTACTTGTACACTTGACATCACGACATGCATGCCTGTCAGTGACTAGATAACAGTGCGTGACCAGATAACAGCGTGTGGCAACTGTTGGGTACTTGTACACTTGACATCACGACATGCATGCCTGTCAGTGACTAGACAACAGTGCGTGACTAGATAACAGTGTCAACTGTTGGGTACTTGTACACTTGACATCACGACATGCATGCCTGTCAGTGACTAGACAACAGTCCGTGACTAGATAACAGTGTAACTGTTGGGTACAGACATCACGACATGCATGCCTGTCAGTGACTAGACAACAGTGCGTGACTAGATAACAGTGTCAACTGTTGGGTACTTGTACACTTGACATCACGACATGCATGCCTGTCAGTGACTAGACAACAGTGCGTGACTAGATAACAGTGTCAACTGTTGGGTACTTGTACACTTGACATCACGACATGCATGCCTGTCAGTGACTAGACAACAGTGCGTAACTAGATAACAGTGTGTGACTAGATAACAGTGTGTGGCAACTGTTGGGTATCACGACATTGCATGCACGACAGTGACTAGACAACAGTTAGTGACTAGATAACAGTGCGTGACTAGATAACAGTGTCAACTGGGTACTTGTACACTTGACATCACGACATGCACACCTGTTAGTGACTAGACAACAGTGCGTGACGTAACTAGACTTGACATCACGACATGCACACCTGTTAGTGACTAGATAACAGTGTGTGGCAACTGTTGGGTACTCTGACACTTTGACATCACGACATGCACACTTGACTAGATAACAGTGTGTGGCAACTATTGTTGGTACTTTGTACACTTGACATCACGACATGCACACCTGTTAGTGACTAGATAACAGTGCGTGACTAGATAACAGTGTCAACTGTGGCTTGTAACTTGACATCACGACATGCACACCTGTTAGTGACTAGATAACAGTGTGTGGCAACTGTTGTACACTTGACATCACGACATGCACACCTGTTAGTGACTAGATAACAGTGCGTGACTAGATAACAGTGTCAACTGTTGGGTACTTGTACACTTGACATCACGACATGCACACTAGATAACTGTTAGTGACTAGACAACACCTGTTAGTGACTAGATAACAGTGTCAACTGTTGGGTACTTGTACACTTGACATCACGACATGCACACCTGTTAGTGACTAGATAACAGTGTGTGTGGCAACTGTTGATAACACTTGACATCACGACATGCACACATGTTAGTACTTGTACAGTGCGTGACATCAGTGTCACATGCATCACGACATTACGCACACCTGTTAGTGACTAGATAACAGTGTGGCAACTGTTGGGTACTTGTATACATCACGACATGCACACCTGTTAGTGACTAGATAACAGTGCGTGACTAGATAACAGTGTCAACTGTTGGGTACTTGTACACTTAACATCACGACATGCACACCTGTTAGTGACTAGATAACAGTGCGTGACTAGATAACAGTGTCAACTGTTGGGTACTTTGTACACTTGACATCACGACATGCACACCTGTTAGTGACTAGATAACAGTGTGTGGCAACTGTTGGGTACTTGTACACTTGACATCACGACATGCACACCTGTTAGTGACTAGATAACAGTGCGTGGCAACTGTTGGGTACTTGTACACTTGACATCACGACATGCACACATGTTAGTGACTAGATAACAGTGCGTGACTAGATAACAGTGTCAACTGTTGGGTACTTTGTACACACTTGACATCACGACATGCACACCTGTTAGTGACTAGATAACAGTGTGTGGCAACTGTTGGGTACTTGTACACTTGACATCACGACATGCACACCTGTTAGTGACTAGATAACAGTATATAAGTGAAGTTTATCTCGGGATGAACAGGTGGCTCCTCTCGAGACCTTAATGACTGAGGTGATGATATGAAAACGGTGTTTGTTCCAAGATCCTGTAATTCGATATTAACACCACAGATTCGACCTGATTCGGCCTTGTTATACGCATCACCAGGAGCTTCTCACTCAAACTCAATCCAGACATTACTGGTTGACTAGAACTACCGTTACTCCTCTTTCAGAACAGTCAAAACCGGTAATAGCGGCACCGTGTGCATGAAAATACAGATTACCGTGAGCATTTGACAACAGTATATTATGTGTTTGTTTGTTAGTTTGTTAGCGCCGCACCCTGCAGCGTCCTCGCCATATAGCGGCGGTCTGTACATTGTCTGTGTCTGGAACAGATAATTAACCCATCTTGGAGTACGCTGACACATCAGCGAAGTAAGCAAACCTCGGCACCCGATCCTGTAACAGCCTCGAACGACAAGAATAGTTGCCGGTCAACAGGATGGCGTGATGACCATACGACAGACAAGAGATTATCTCATGACAGATAAAACATAACCAGACGACATAGCAAGAGATTCTTTCATGACTGACAAGGCATGGCCAGACGACAAACAATGCATCATCAGACTACAGACCAAAGAATGTCTGATGACTTACGACAGATAAGAGATTATTTCATGACAGATACATGGCAAGACGGACCACACGACAGACAAAACATGTGACTACACGACAGACAAAACATGTGACTACACGACAGACAAAACATGTGACTACACGCCAGACAAAACATAGGACCACACGACAGACAAGACGGACCACACGACAGACAAAACATGTGACTACACGACTGACAAAACATAGGACCAGACGACAGACAAAACATAGGACCAGACGACAGACAAAACATAGGACCAGACGACAGACAAAACATAGGACCAGACGACAGACAAAACATTTGACCAGACGACAGACAAAACATAGGACCAGAAGACAGACAAGACGGACCACACGACAGACAAGACGGACCACACGACAGACAAAACATGTGACTACACGACAGACAAAACATAGTACCAGATGACAGACAAAACATAGGACCAGACGACAGACAAAACATAGGACCACACGACAGACAAAACATAGGACCACACGACAGACAAAACATAGGACCACACGACAAAGAAAACGGACCACCACACGACAGACAAAATATTTGACCAGACGACAGACAAAACATGTGCCCAGACGACAGACCACAGGTTATCTCATGACAGATAAGACATATGGCCAAACAATAGACAAGACCAACCAAAACGTCCTAGATAGCCAACGTCAGACTTCTGGTGGAATATAGACAGGTCAAGTTTCAGGAATTCCGATAATAAGTCGATTAATCAATCAATGCAATGCATACAGGTAAGATTGAAAATATGTGCATACGTTTAAACGATGAACAGTCTTCAAAAGAGGAAGGGGGTTGGGGTGGAGTAACTCCGCACAGCCTTCTGAATCTACTCTTACACGACTAAGTCATGAAACACAAGAAAACCTGACGTGACGTTCCCTTTCTCACGTGAAAAGCGGGCCTTCGAAAATAATCTTAACTTACAGTACAAACAACGAACAAACATTTCGCAGACCTCAGAATATCATGCTTAAAATCGTTTTCAAGATCACATGCAACTCTTTCATCCAGCAGTCATTTAATTTACCGATCAAGTCAAGGCATAACTAGTATTGTACATCTTTCACGCTCCAATGCGCATGCATCCATTTTTAAAACTGGCTAAACTGAAGTTCATCCAAACTTGACTTGTGCGTATCAGGAAATACCCGGGACGTTGAAGTTTTCATAGGTTCCCTCTGACTCTAATTACGACGTTGTGCCGAATGATACAAGTCTCAACCGATCGGGTCATGTGCAGCTGTGGAAACTCACGTTCGCCAACAAAGGACGTGCAATCTACCGCCACACAAACAAAGTATCAGCGACCGGTTGTGTTTAAGCTGTATGCATTCATGCAATCAATTAAAACACAAAACCACGTTACACGTCACAAATTTGACTGTTTTTTCTCAGTTAATAGGTAGCTATCGAACCTGATACGCATATTGGAGCCTTTTTTCACTAACATTTTAAAGCGGATGGAATTATATCGAAAATAAATCATTTCACACGTTGAGAGCAGATGTAACCGCCCCTCCGTCTATACATTCCTACTGAAGAGACACGTAGATCTAAGTAGACGCTGTCAACAGCGACTGTGTGACGGAGGAACAGGTGAGGGCCAGCATGCTGTACAACGCATCTAAGACGGACCCGACAGGTAAGATTTACCTGGATAGTATGGGTCGGGCTCAAGCTGATTTGTTAATTCCGATAGGATATTTTTTATGATATTTTTTTAGATTTTGTTGTCACTAATTCGTATTCTGTGAGGGTGTTTTAGTTAATAGAAATAATTGCATGTTGGATTTGAATTAGGAGTTTGAAGAAATATTATTGTTGGTTATGTAGTGGTGACTTGTACCTACCTGTGAGGTATGCAACCTGCTTGCTACTCATTGAGTGACATGAGGTAGGTATTATGACTTACATGCGTCATTAGTGGTATGGGGTAATACGTGGAGACTGGGCTTGTAGAATATTCCGGAACGTTCAACAAATACTGACACGTGCATCACCATTTGACACGTGTAACGAATTTGCAATTACATGTTTACAAGTGACAAAAAGTAATTTCGGCGAAGCACATTTCCGTGATAAATATACGGACCCCTGGCCACCACTGGACATTCAATATTTTGACTGTAACGGCGTCGTAGATGACGGCGTTGCTGTATCAAACACGACGTCTCGGTATCACTACAAACTACTCGTAGGTTTTCAAGGTAACTGACAAATCAGATTGCTAAATTCTATAACAAGTAGTTATAACATTTATTTAAAAAACGGGAACTTCGCCCCAGGTTTAAAGTAAGGAATGCAGCATCTGACACTTACAAAGTATGTAAGTAATTATAAGTACTGTGAGATATGGGTGAGTGAGTGGCTATTGTTTGCGTCGCCGGTAGCAATAGTCAATCTGTCCGTGTACATTCACATCTGATCAGAACAAACAGTGGTTGATCGCATGACCAACGAACTTTGCCGTCGGGAAGGAAATTCACAACAAGAAAATATTGTTATGAATAAGATCGGGTGTAAGGAACATAGAATGGGTACTCAAGGCCCATTCTGATTGGGAGTTCGCACGAGGGAACGCTCTGGTGTGAAGTGGTTGATGCTGTGGCGACGTAACCGTTGACGATTGTTGTGCTCAAATACACACAATGCACAATATATTAACTATCAACACACACACACAATTATACACACACAGTATATTAAATCATACCATACACACGACAAGAAAATACACATAATATCAAAAACATAAGACGCACATTATAAGAAAATAATCAATATATTAACTTATAGGACACACACTACAAGAAATACACACAATATCAAAACATGCTACACTCACTCAAATAAAATACACACTTTATCAAATTATATCACAAACACACTAAAATAGAAGACACGTGATTTTATATATACCACACACACTAAAATCAAATACACAATACATACATTTACATCACATACGCTAAAGTAAACTGCACATAATATTAAACATAATACAATATAACACACATTTTATTAAATTATATCACAAACACACTAAAATAGAAGAGACATGATTTTAAATACACCACACACACAAAGAAAAGATTCAAAATACATTTACTTATATCACACACACTAAACGAAAATACATATAAACAAAATGGGAGATTAGAGGCTACCAACATTCTACTAGTCAGCTATTTGGGTATTTTTAGCTTCACTGTTAGGTATGTACAGTGAAATTAAAAGTGAAAACATGAAAAAGAAAAGAAAATACCCATCAAATTCACTTCTATCACCCACGCTAAAGTAAAATGCACATAAAATAAAACATGCCACACTTAATAAGATATAATACACCGTTTATTGAATTACATCACAAACACACTAGAATAAAAGACCCATGATTTTAAACACACTAAAATAAAATATACACTCTATATTAAATCACATCACACACACATCACACACACACACACACACACTAAAGGAAAACACGCATAATATTCAAACGAATATAATACGAAGTTTATTAACTTATATCACACACTTAAATAAAATACACGATATTCTAAATCATATGACACACACTATTAAAAATACACGTTAATTAAATCAAAGATGCTATTGAAATACGGCTACTTCCATCTCCAAGTATTCAACCAGGGAATGTCCCCGTAATTACAGTGCGAGTTAGATGCAATGTTGCTAAGGAAACATACATTAAAAGAAAAGCTAAATAGGCAACTTAAATGGGATAGGGATATCAACGTAGATATATCAGAACAACTCTGGAAAGTTTTTAACTATGTGCCTTTCAGAACAACTTGTAATACACAATTCAGATGGCTTCAATATAAAATTGTCCAAAGAATCATTACAACAAACAAGGATTTATTTAACTATAATCTGACACAATCCGCTTCTTGTACGTTTTGTAATGTTACAATCGAATCAATCATCCACATATTTTGTGAGTGTACATTTGAAAACGTTGTGGCAGCAGCTAAAAGCCTGGATTGAACAAGATACAGGCTCAAGATTAATTCTGGATTCAAAACATATCATCTTTGGGATATAAAGAAAAACGAAATTATGTGTTAAACCTGATTATCATCGCAACAAAATACTATATATATGCAAAGAGATGTTCTAATTCGCATCCGCGGTTTGTTGGATTAAAGCATTGCCTACACACCCTGTATGAAATTGACAAATGTACTGCCTTTTCGCACTGCAGCTATGGTAAATTCTTCACCTTTTGGTCATCTTGCCATAACCTCTTCACATAAATTACAATAACAATGTATTCTTCTAGCCTACGGATTATCTACCACCCGTGTCCATACTTTGTATATTTATATGTACCACAAATGCAACAATTATGTACCCATCAAAAAGAAATTAAATGATAAAAAAATCACAAAAACACACACACACACACACACACACACACACACACACACACACACACACACACACACACAAAGGAAAATACGCATAATATTCAATACGCAGTTTATCAACTTATATCACACACTAAAATTAAATACACGATATTTTAAATCATATCACACACACTAAAAAAATACACATTAATTAAATCAAAGATGCTATTAACATACGGCTACTTCCATCTCCAAGTATTCAACTAGGGAATGTCCCCGTAATTACTGTGCGAGTTGCAGATAACAATTTCAGAGATTAACTTGAATAAATGTGGCGAAAACAATAACGCCCTTGACTCGTGCATTCCTGGGACAAAGTGGCTTATTCTTAATGCGATATAGTTTTTATCACCAATCCCTCTACTAGGTTTTGTTTCCGCAGCTATTCTGAATAATTAAGATTCTTCAGTTAAGTTTTTTAATTTGTTTCAATAATTTTATTTGATGTATTTGGTTCCTGGAATTAAGAGTGTGTTCATATCAAACGGTTTAGGTAAACCAGTCCGGTGCACCAACAGTGTTACGTTATAAATCAGAGTCCGTAAATCTCAATAGGCCTTCGACTGGGTCTTCAAGCCCCTTTAAAAACATGTTAGTTCTAAATCTCCTGATCACGTTCATGTCTTTGAGCTGAAGAATACAACTAAGGTAGCTACTTGCTCTGTGGTAACTAAGTTCGTTAGGTGCTGACTCATTGATGTGGGGGTTGGATGGGGGATCGGGCAAATACATTTGTTCAAGATAATGACTGACTGACTGTGTTTATTTTTACACCGCTTTTAGCAATATTCAGCAATATCACGGCGGGGGACACCAGAAATGGGTTTCACACATTGTACCCTGGTCTTCGGCGTGACGAGTGCAGCTTTAACCACTAGGCTACCCCACCGCCCCATAAGATAATGATGAAAACTAAGTTTGTCTTATAAACTATTTTTTATTGGATATGCCCCGAAACAGTACGTGGAGTGATTGAAATATATTGGTCGATTTCGCATTCCTTCCATTTATTCTGTCAGGAACCAACTGATAGAGATATTTCCACAATCACAAGAATTTGTCTATACCCAATACCACGAATCCGACTACACCCTCAGTGTGCATGTGTATCACCGTCAGGATACCAGAAGTTTCTACCAACATTCCTAGATTTTGTCCGTTATTCTGCACTGAAAGCTATATAGTCTCTGAAATGAACCCTATTTAATATAATTTTGATACGTATTTCCTAACAACATTATCCATTACTTTGAAAACAAGACTATATCATATAGCTATGATATATGTGAAATCTATATGCATGAACGGTGTTTCCATTTCTCTGAAGTGAATACGATACCGTGCAGATATACCAGCACACGTACGTAGTTTCTATTCCTCTGATATGAACGCTATATGACAGTGCTATTCTCGCACAAACTTCCCACATTTCTCTAACCCTCTGAAGTGACACCTTATCGTGATGGTCATGCAGCTATTCTCGCTATTCATTCTATTCTCGCACAAACTTCCCAGATTTCTCTAACCCTCTGAAGTGACACCTTATCGTGATGGTCATGCAGCTATTCTCGCTGTTCATTCTATTCTCGCACAAACTTCCCACATTTCTCTAACCCTCTGAGTAGGGTTCAGACGGGTACGGCAGGACTCGAGTCGAAATTCATGGACTCGAGTACCCGGCAAAGGGAGATAACTCTAAAGTAAACGTGACCACGTGTGCAGTCATGGATGAGAAAAGGTCGGACGTATGGGCCCATTTTGATCTTGATACTTCAAAACACAAAACCAAATTGATGTCGATTGTTAAAAGAATTGGATTATGGCGCTAGTTTGATTATTTCATGTTTAATACAATGTTTTCTCTTATAATTGTCATCACTTTATTGAATTTCTAGTTTTCAAAATACATGCGTTAATCAACACGTACAACTGTGTCAATGTTGTTAACTGCTGATGTGGAAATTTCACTTTGTTACAATGCGCAATCTTTTTTTAAAAAATCACATTTGATATCGGTTAAACGAAATGTGCTTTAATAAATGTTCTGATTTTGATAATGGCTTGTTTCTTCTGAGTTTGTTCTCTGCATTGTGGGTTGAACCTCATTTTTACCCCAGTCTCAAAGCTTTTCAAACTCTCGATTTTGTGTTTATAACCACGTGTTGCGACAAGTGACGCTATACTTCACATGAACTGGTTTCTGCTA